ACGTGTCCTTTAAACTGATTGACCATAGTAGAGTTTAAATAATAGATTGGGGTTTTTCATTTTCGTGGTACCTTCTTAACACTAAATAAGAATACACTTAGAAAGTATTCTATATGATGAATGACTACGTTTTTTAAGCTTAAAAAACACTATAACACTGAATATTAAATAACAAATCGAAGAAAGTTTAGAGTTGGCATTTTAAAGAGGCGTCAAATCCTGGACATGGGAAACGACGGGCGGGACATTTATAGAAAATAATTTGTATAATATTGTCGATGTGAGGTAATATTGTATAAACTTAAGTAACTACAATTGAGCAATTATATGGTTATTTTTTACGGGCAACGGAGTGCACACGCGGGATTAGCTAGTCGTATACAATATCATCTAATTTTTGTCTCAGACGATTAATGATTCGAATGATTTCAACGAACAAAACAGAAAAGCATTAATAGACAGACAACCTGCAGTTAAACAGTATCTTGTTTTAAAATACTTCAATTAATTCCTGTTCAAAGAGCGATGATGATGGATGTGTTCATTCGTTCATTCGGCGTAGACGTAGCTAGGTATTTATAGGTACTGCGCTAATGCACAATAGATAATCCTTTGACTTCGATTTTCTCGCCATTTTCGACATGTAATATTTAGAAAATTGTGTATATTTGTTAATTATTGAGAATATTATATTCATTTTCTTGCTTATATAGAGACGGTGTTTGAAACACCATTTAAGATGCCACCTCAGTGTTTGTGGGACCAGCATTATTTTCCACATTTTTCATCACCTCCGTCATCACGCCTTGTAGTTGAGTTGGAGTTTTCATATTATCCTCTACCACCTCTGCCGGAGTTATATGTTGGATTGGCACTATTCCATACGATATTACAACCGTCACCGCAACCATTATGACATAATGTTGTGTGACTGTGTCGGCATTTTCTTATTCTACGCCCGCCCCAGAAAATGTTGTATCCTGATTAACGTATGATTTTCCTCCTCAGTCCTCCGTCTTTTATGGAGGCCGAGACGTTTGATTCGCCACAACAATTGCTGCGGCGGTATTTCTTAGACTGCGGCCGATCGGTCTATTCTATACATAGCCAGCAGACATACGGTGCCAACTACCAAGTAGCCTTGCAAGAGGTCGATGATAATTGTATTTTCTAATGTATAAAATAATATGTTTATTTATATGAAAAACAATGTGTAAATATTTACAATGTATTAATAGTAATATAAATAGTAACATATAAAATGTAAAATGTAATACATTTTATAATATACAGGGTGATTCTTTTAAGTGGGTACACTAATTATCTCGAAAAGTATTTACTTTTTTCAAAATATTTTTTTACATGGTTTCAAGTTGTTAAATAACCAACGTCTTTATTAAAAAATTATATTTTTAAATATTTTTTATCCTTATCACTTTTAAGTTTTTACTTTTTTGAATGACAACATAGAGTTTTAATTTCATATTCCAAAGCAGAATATTTTTCTAAGTATTTTGATACATAAAAATCAAATTGGCTAGTAGTTTTTGAGTTATAAGTATTTAAAGTTTAGATTGGCAGAGTGGAGTGATACGGGGTTACCCCGCAAAATGTTTGTCCACTACTCCGCTTGTCTAACATTTATATACATATAACTCATAAACTACTCGTCCTAAATAAAGTCCAGTTTATTTGTCTACGAATTAAATTTTAAAAAATCGGGGTCTAGAGAAGCATTGTGACGAATATATTAAACTTGAATGCAATGATATAATAAAATCGTTGTATATACGAAAACATTTCAGACCGAAGATGATTACTGTTTAGTGTTTAAAATGATTAATTTTATTATAAGGTATTTGTATTATCTACAGTAAATTATAAATAAATATACACATAATCGTTATTTTTGGGTTTTTAAAATGAAATGTCTGCCAAAAGTCACTGTATTTATAGGTATATTATTTTAGATATTTTTGGTAAAAGTATAATATATATTTATATATATAAACTATTTATGAGAATCCATGTTTTAAATTTTCAATTCTTTACTAAAATTGTATTAACTATTTAAATTTTGAAAGATACATTCTTTGTGCACGGTGAATTATAATAACTATAGGTTCGGTTCTGCGTTGATATGAATTAGGAGGATAACTCATTGGTTATAAACTTATAACTTATCAATATATAATATATTGTAAGTTTATTTTTTTTTTCAAAATAATAATAATCTTTATACTATATATTATGTAATGAAAAAATAAAAATAAATCGTTCAAAGGAACCTCTATCAAGTTTATCATTTTTTTTAAATTTCTATACCTTTTAACCATTCTGTAGCCTGTAGGGGTTAAATACTGGGAAGGGGCCAAAGAATTACCCAGAGTCTGATTCTTTCACTATAAGACTTTTGTTAGGTAATCAAGATTATATGATGACAGCTGCTGTAGAAAATCGTTTGTTGTTTTTTTAACACATTTTATCAGTGTGTCTTCATGTATAAAAATTTGATTATACGCCATTTACATCACAAATCAATAAAATATGCATACCTGGTAGAAAAAGATGATTTTATATTTATTATTTATATGCAATTGCATATACAGAATATATGTAAATGCATATAATCTGTGGTCCATAGCCGGAAATTGGGGGTGCTTAACCCCTCAAATATTGTAATAGCCCCCAAATTTTTTTTTTAGTTAATTAAGCCCCCCCAGAAATTTCTATGGATTTCTGCCTATGCCGGAGTCTCCCATAAACCTCTTTTCAGAACAGTTGTTATTATTTTTGAATTTAATAACAAGTCCATGACAATAATGTTTAAATGATTCGACATACTATAAAATTTTAAGATACAGCATTTTCATACAAATGTTTGATAGAATAATCATTTTAATATGCAATATTCCCATATTCTATTTCAATAAAATTTAAATATTGTAAAAGATACCAATGTATTGGTAAACAAACAATATTCTTAATTTTAAGTTTGATATTAGGATACATTAACAGTATTAATATAAGGTTCATTTAATAACAACACAATAGTACAATAAAATTATTTTTTGGTTAATTAAAATCAACTTTATTTCATCAAGGAATATAATATTTATAAACTTCAACTCTTTTTCTCAATAATACTTATACAGGATAACCTTGTACCATTACACTTGTTCCTGGCAAAGTATTTGTCATTAAACGGCTCATAAAACTCTAAAAAATATAAATATATGATTTCATCAAAACTTTTGCTAACTTTTGTAAACGTCTATATTATGCAACCTCTCCTAAAAATTGTATGATAGTAACTTTTTAAATTATCAAAAACACGTTACTATAATAAACGAAAGTTACTAACACCTAATCTCAAAAACTACTTGACCAATTTCAATTAAAGTTATATCAATAGATTTCTTGAAACTTTAGGTAGGGTGTTTTAGCTTCTGTATTCAACCCATATTTATGCAGCTATAAAGTGGCTCATACCCGAATTTTGTTTAGGATGACAAAAATTAAATACATTTTTATTCATATGTATGGTTAACATTGGTTATCGACTAGATCACTAGATCATAGTTATTACTTATTATTGGGCCTCGGATGTTGTTGCATTTGCAATTTTTTTTCTACTGTTCGGATTCGTTGCTAAGTAAGTTATACATTTATTTCAAACGAGTACCAATTAATATATAAAAAATGTAAATGCAACTTTTTGACCTTTTTTCAATTTTGTTGATTGTCGTCATTTTCAATGCAATTTTATACATTTTTTTATGTTTTCATTTTTTTTTGTTAGATTATACAGTGCAATAATTTTTAAGGTAAGGTAAGGTTTTTAAAAAAAAAAAACAAATCAAAAATAGTTTAAATAAAAAGTTTTAAATTTTGATAAAATTATTTGTAGATTTCTGAAAAAATAAGAAGACCGCACAATTTACCAGATTTTTAATGACAACTGACAATCTTTTTTATTATCTACTCGTTTAAAACCTATCTAATAAAACTTWATAATATTACTTAATAAAATGACTTAATCCATTTCATAAAATAATTTGTTAATATATTTTTTTTGGTACAAAATATTTTTTTATTGCAATTTTGGGTTTTTTTCACAGCATTAATGCAATCAATTTTATAAAATGTTTAGTGCAACAACATCCGAGCCCTACTTATTATAAATATGGCATATTATTTAATTGTTATTGAACAATATATAACCCATTTCACACGTAAAGCATTTGATGTTCACACATAAAATAATAATCATATTTAGTGTGAGTTCCTATTGAGCCAATGCTCACAACTTATTCATATCAATTTTATTTTATTAAATACCATTAAAAATAGTCAACATTTATCGATTAGCCAATGAATTATGATCACAACTTGAAAATGAATACATACATTTTTGTGATTTTCAGTAGCATAGGCAATGCACATTGATTTTGTAGTGTGTGCACTTAAAATTTCACAATAATCTTTATTTTTATATAATACTAAGGCTCCTGCAAGTTTTTCATTAGAAGTTCTTAATATTGGTGAATCTGGAAAAATAAATTTCTTATGTTAAGGTATATAACTGTATCAAACAAAAAATTTGGTTGTAACAGATAACTAACGTATAAAATCTTCATTAAAACATTTATTAATCGCGATTGTAGGGCAAGAACAATTAAAAAGTTGTCTAGATATTTCTTTAKCTAGGTTTGTTTTAATCAGATGTTCACCACAACCAGAAGTTGTTACTGCAGTTGCAACGCCATTAGACATATTTTGGGCCCAACATCCTGATCCTAATAAAGCAGCCTGAAAAATTATTACAGTGAAACATTACATATAGTAGATTTTTAATAGGTTCTTTACAAATCACAATAGATCTATAGTATATTGTGTAGCAAGGGTTGTAAAGGTACTATTTCGAGTTGATGACGATTGCGGCATGAGGATCAGTTTGACTAGTTTGAGTCATTATGACTGAAATATTGCTTTCCCACAAGAGCTATATTTACTTTTTTTTTTATCATATCTCTAGATTCACCTAACTGTATTATGTAGAACAGCAAAGGAAATAACTCACCTGTCAGCTACCAGCTACTATTTGTCAAATAGTACATGCAGTGACACAAACACAAGCAAGAAGAGGTTCTAAATTCTATACACCCCTCCCCTTGGTTGTATTATTTCTAATACAGACATATTAGATTTTTATCTTTAGTTGAAATCTCTATGTTTAAACATGTATGGACCACCATCGCCTCATATATTACAGTTAAAATCTAATAAAATCTAGTGAATAGAAAAAAAATAGGTAATATACATAATGAGCTGATGAAGTTTCAAGTTTAAATTATTAATATTTTTTGAAAAACAACAAATTAACTAAAATTGATGTGTAAGATAAATCGTTTTCATTACCTATTGTACGTCTGAAATGGTTGAAACTTGAACTTTAAACACCAATAACATATTCATACCTATATCTTTATGCTTAACCTTTGATATCTCAATAAAAACATAATGAAATCTTATGTTAATTATTTGAACTTTAGGAATAAAAATTAAAAATTGTATGCATTCTCAAATTCAAAACCATTTGCAATAATTTATAAGTTTTAAAAATTCTACCCAAATAGAACTTCAAACTTTAATATTATCTGTAATTTTTTATAAAACATTCTACATTGGGTTTATAATAAAAATTAATAAACAAATTATTATTGCTATGGTTAAAATATTAATACAATTTACTTGTCCAACGCGACCATCTTGTTTCAATAAGATTCCACCACTAGAAGATGATGCAGCAACATTTCCAAACTTATCCATACCAACACAACCTACAGTATCTAATCTACGGTTTTCCACCTATGAAATACAATAATACGATTCAGTAAAAATTTTTTTTTAAATTGACGTTTATATTTTAAAGTTACTTGACAATTACTGTACTTTTGATTCATAACTTTATATTTATTGTGAACAAAGTCTCTTTTTGATTTTTCTAAAACAATTTAACAATATACTCATAAGGCACAGAACATTGAGAGGTAATAAATAATATAGATTGAAAAATATCACTATACCTGAAATTAAACTAAATGGATCAACAGCTACTATATTRTTTGCTATAGCATATTCATGAGCTCCGAGACCAACAAGTAAACTTAATTGAGAAAAATAATTTGTATGAAAATATATTTTAATCGAACCAGAAAATATAAATATTTGAATTCAGACAAAATTGTTCATATTCATAGTAAAAAATTAAAATAATTATTTAATGCATCACCCGTTCAGAAATAAAAAAAAATGCAAAAGGAATTACCTTTTTCAGATCTATATTGAAAATACGATTTTGAGTTGACCTCATTTTACTCCATGTAATTAAATTATATTCTAATAGGTATACAAAGAATTACCAACTATGGCCAGCGAAAGTATTAAATACAAATTGAAAAAATATTAATTCATATCTACTAAATTAACTATATTATATACTAAAATATCAATGAAAATTATGATAGGTTAGGTTAGTTAGTTAAAATCTCAAAATTAATTTAAATTCAACCTTAAATGAGAAAGAAAATAACACTACTTATACWATAGGTAAAATGTATTCAATTAAAAATTATAGTACTATAATGTAGGGTTGCCATTCGTCTTTTTTTGCTTAGCCTGGGCACAGCCAGTATTGAGCACACTGTGTCAATCACTTGGCTTTTAAAAATACAGACAACAAAATAATAAATCTGCAATGATTATTATTTACCTACTATTTATTTTTAACAAAATATATAATGTATGGAATGTAGAATGAAGTTATAAATAGTAATACACTAATTATGATATGAAAAATGTATTTATAATTGCTATTATTTATCTCAGACAAATATTTCAAGAAGCTTGTTTAGAATAATGTCATCTATTCACTATTGCATACAAATATACCTAATTAAAAATGATTTGTTAGTATAAGCGGTGGTGAATATATTGGGGGTGGCCAGTGGGCTGCAGCCCCTTCCAAACTTACAGTCTCAACTGTTAAATACATAGTAGCCTCTAGATGCTAGATCATTATTGTTAGTTGCTATATATTACAATCCACCCCAARAATTATTTTTATATAAGCAACTGAGTTTAAGAGTAAACCAAGAACTAAAACCAGATGCATGAAAAATGTATTAATTTAATGGATCAATAAAACTTAATGGGCCAATCATATTTAAGAGATCATTAACTCACAATTTATCAATTGAATGTTTAGTAATTATTCATGTAACCCAGCATAAGTTCTATTTCATGCTCAGTAGTAAAAATATACTATACTTTTAAAACTTAAAAAAGATAACAGTAAAAAAAAGATTATCGGTTATTATCTATAATTTATATACCATGGAGGAATTCTTCCAAATGACATTTTTAAATTTTGTTTTTCACAAATTAGTTTGGCAAGAGCGATTGGATTTTTTATACCAGAAACAGCACCAACACCTCCATAATGCATATTTGATCCATCTGTAATACTTGCATCACATTCCACAGCTCCATTCCACGTTAAATTAGATCCATAACCAGCATTAGTTAGCGGAGAATCTTCTAAAACCATAGTGGCTACTGCAACTGCATCTAGCGCGGATCCATTATTTTTTAGTACTTCCAATCCCTAAAAAAATAACATTGATATAAGCTCATTTCAATTGTGCTATAATATTTACCAACCTTTTTACAAGCTTTCAAACATATTTTTTTATAATTTGCTTCCTTAGTTGTTTTTTGATATCCCGCACCTATTCAAAAATAGTAATAAATCAGTTTGGTTGAGTATCAAGAACATACAGAGTATCAGACAATTTTTTGATTAAAATACACATTGCAATATTAAACTCTAACTACCATTTTACTTGGTTCATCATAAGTATTTGATATCTTACCAGTGTGAACAGCAATTACGCAGTCCATGTTACTTTAATTTCTCATTAAATAGTTTTAAATATTATCTTGCACATTAAATTCAACATAGCTTTTAAATTTGAATGAATATCATTACATGTAAATTGAAGATTTATTATTTTAATACGTTATAATATTAGAATAATATAAAATATATTTAATACCTATTTTCGTAATGGTCTGAATAATAATAATTAATAGGCATAAAATATTCAATATAAATAAAATAAAATAATGTATAAATTCTGTGGTTGTGTGGGAATAGTGCGGCTACAGTAGTCTTTGAAACTTGAGATTGAGACTACAACAGGTCTTCAAGACTTTTTTTCATAAGAAATGAAGAACAAATATTATTTAGATTAGAATTCGGGAGTTAATTTCTGATTATCACTTTTATAATATGGTTGATAACTAACAGAAATTATTTGGCGCCATAAATCATGGTATAATATCATAATGTACGTATTATATATAATATAATATTTAACTTATTCAAATTAGAATATAGATAATGTGCGCACGGATGTTGCTATGTAGCCAATGGGGTTCTAGCCACACTTGAGGCTGGGACACGAATTAAGATATATTAATTATATAATATTATAATTATATCTTAATTCGTGGGCTGGGAATTTTTTTTTGATAGGTTCCAGCCGAATACCAAATACGTAGGTGAAAAGAGCTAATATTCATTTCTTTTTGGAAAATCAAACATTTATTTTTAACAATTGTACCATAAATATTTTCGCGACTGACACCTATCATGCCTTGTACTTATTTTTATAATGGCAGTGTGTGTGTGTGTGTGTGTGGGGGGGGGGTTGTAATTGAGCGGATTGTCGAAATGTTTATAATACGACGTTGAAAGTGAGTTAATTCAGTAGAACTCTCGATCAGATATCAGACACTTGTTGAAAATGCGCGAGGTAAATGGTAAATCCTATTAGGTTTGTAGGTCATTAGATAGACTTTGGAAAACATCTAACCTATCACGACATATGGATATATAGATTTCACGCTCATAGTCTGGTTTCGAGGACCAACCGATCTGGAAACTTGTAGAGTACCTCTTCTTTTAAGCCCGATGAAGGACATCCACCAGTCTCATTGGTAGATACATTTGGAAATTGACATACGTGGGCAGTTTGCCCGGTGTTCGGGGTTTTTCATGCCCAACGATTGACTTTTTCCTCGGCTTCCTAGATTTTTTAGGTTTAATAGAAAATTTTTAATAGAAAAAATCTTATTCAAATAATTTGATAAAAAGTACCATCTAACGATCAGAAAGGCCACAATGGCTACACAGTTTCAATGCTACTTGGTCAAGGATTTCTGCCACTTGTGATTTGTGAATAGCTGTATGCCTTGGCTTATTTTTTGGCCCACTTAGTTGCATACCTTTCAAAAATTTGAAACAATGGGTTAGGTATTTTGTAAGACAAAAATTAATACAAATTTTCAAATTGAAATGATCAATTAACAGAATTATTTATTAGCAATACACAATTCTAACACTCACAAAAAATGTGTTTTACCCAAGTCATAGCTAGTGCCAAGTGGTAACCAAACTTATTGTTTCTATTACCGCTGATGGCATGCAGACTTGTGGTTTGTTGTGTCGCCAGTATTTATCAGTCACTCATTTCACCTTCATATCACTGTTAATAATATTCAAAATTTAATTTTAAAAGAAATTTTGTTATGGCCCCTCGGTCTTTCCTTTTGATTGATCTTCCGCTATTCATATGTCGTTATCGCATTTCCACCCTCGTCATTGTTTGCCGTTTCGCCCCATTAAGAGAATAAAAACTCAAATACAACTTCATAGTTTTTAAAACTTTAATATTGTAAATAAATTAAAATATAGAATTTACTGAAAATACATTATATTAAGTTTAATAAAAAGAAAAATAAGAAAGTTAACTAAAATCTTAAAAATGTTTTTACATCTTTAATTTCACATATTAATTAATATAGAACATCACATCCAATAAATAAAATTACATTTAGTATAATACCCAATTAAACAATATTATACATACATAAATATTCAACATGCATGCATAAAAACAATATTTTAATTCCTCAAACTTTTAACAACTTTGATAACAACATACATAATACCTAATAAACTATATAAATGGTAAATATTTGATTAGTTTTTTATAATAAAAATAAATGAACAATTATTTAATTGATATAAATTGTGATAAAAACAAAAAAAAAACAATAAAACAAAACAAATATTAAAATTTCCTAATTAGGTAACAGGTGTTTTTTAAAAGGGCGAATTAAATTGATATTTCATCTCTGAAGATTAATAAAACAACAGACATTTGACTACATGATTTTAAGGTTCAGCTGCTAGCCATTTGTTTTTAGATTGATTGGTGTCAGTTATGAAATTTACGTTGGCACAGTCATGGCTTTCTTTATCAGTGGCAATAGACACTAATTGTAAGTTGTCCATAGGCTGGTAAAATGCAGATGCAGACTCTATGTCAATAACAACATTGGCCAAAGACGGCTTAAATAGATCACCATCTGTATCAACTGGTATTGTGTAATTTTTTCCTTGATCTGAGACTAAATCAGACATATTGCATACATTGAATCCTCCAATGTGTATATATTCACGATTGCACTCATCTTTGACAACCTGTGACTGTGTATATTCTTCTTCGTTCATTCTATCTATATTAATGTTCAATGAATCATCATCGTCTTCCAACTCTTCTGATATCGAAATATTAAAACTTGGATCCACAAAATCAATTGGTTCTGCATTGTTATTGACAATATTTACTTTACTGCCAGCATTTAGGTCAGGAATCACTGGATTACTTACAATTGGCAACGTTTTCTATCAAAATCATATTTTTAGCAAACCAAAAAAAAACTTACTATACATATATATTTCATTTTTAATATTCTGTTGTTAACTTACTTTGTTAGGATGATGAGTAGTGCACAACATACCATTGCCCAGCGGATCTTTAAATATGTTCCCTTTGACATGCATTGCACAATACGATTCCACACAAAATTTACATTTGGCTACTACCTTACGTTTGTTGCACAGAGAACAAAAATGAGAAGGGCATATGAATCCGGCTAAAATAAAATAAAACACATAGCCTTTATTTATATCTATTATTGAAATTCAATATATTTTATGAGGGTAATAAATTATACTCACATTTCACAATTCTAGTTTTGTTAATGCAACTAAGATGAAAGACTCTGGGGCACTTTTTGTTTTTACATGACAGTTCTGTATGGCCTTTTCCACAAATCACACAAGAATCGTTTTTGAAATATGCTTTGGACTGTAAGAAGTCTTTGTTTATTTTAGTTTTCTTCATTAGGATGGTTTTCCTCGACAACATTTCATCACTGTTTTTAACAATTTTTGTTGTTTTTGACAATTTCTTTTTTCTTTTATTGAATTTTATATTTGATACAATAGGCTGGACCTTTTTCTCCTTACCCAAATCATTCTAGATAAATATATCAATAATTATTAATTTTAAATGTTATTTAAACAATTTATACCTACAAGCAGAATGTTCAAATCTCTATACTAGGGGTGGTCAACATGGATACATCCACGAGTGACACAGATAAATACAATAATATTAAGAGCCATAATGTTAAAAAATACATTTTATAATTTTTATTACTTATCGTTAATAAGTAAATAATGGTTTTTTTTTTTTAATAATACACAAGCCTCATATGGCTATGGCGCGAGACGCAAGATGGCCAGGTGCAAAATACAATGATTCTTTTATCATGGACATTTCAAAAAGTATTGCTTTTGAAAAAATGTTTACATGGTTTCATGGTTTAAAGTCGTTAAAAAAACAACATTTTTAAACATACAGGTGATTTTTTAAGCATCCTCATTTTATGCTTGAATTATGCATACATTCAAATTTTGAGTGTTGGAATTTTTAAATTCACTTAAAGACCATATTTTTGAATCCTCAAGATTTTTTTATACCACTTAAGAGCGATCATGTAATAATACAAACTTCTGTTTTTCAAATAGGAACTCCCTTTTCATTCTTAGTTATTAAACAGATATTTTTATTTTATTGTATGCTAAGAATAAATTGTCTAAGGTAATGGGTTAAGTAGATAAGGGCCATAGACAATTAAAAAAAGTTAGTATTTACTATTGATTAATCAAAATAAATAATTTGTAAAACTATCCAAGTATAATAAATACAAGAGCATTTGGAAAATAGAAGTTAGTAACATCCCAGAAACCTCCTTAAGTAGTACATAAAATATCAGAATTCGAATAAATGTTCTATTAGAAAAAAGAATGGAAGAGAGTATTATTAAAAAATTACCTTGCATATACTCTGTTCAAAACAAGAAACGCCAGCTACTGCGCTTAGACATGTTATGTCATTACATGTAAGAACCACGAGAAATGGATGTTGCCTCCAAAGGCGTTTTTTATTTTAAACAGAGCATTTTTTTATTATTATTTTTTATTCTTATCAGTTTATAACTTTTTGAATAACAACATAAAGTTCTAATTTAATATTCTAAATAAGAATATTTTTTGAAGTATAATGATATATAAAAATTGGATTTCTTAAAATTAGTTAATAAGTAAATAACTTAATAAGCATTTGAAGTTCAAATGAACGAAATAGTAGACCAACATTTTGTGAGATAAACACGTATTTATTCCACTCTGCCCATCTAAACTTTAAATACTTATAATTCATAAGCTACTAGTTTTAAATCCAATTTTTATTTATCAAAAATTTAAATAATCAGAATAATTTCTGCTCTTAGTGTAAAAACTTAACTGTTGTCATTTAAAAAAATAAAACTTAAAAACTATTAGAATCAAAAATATAATTTTTGAATAGCCATTTTTTTTGACAACTTGAAAAAGTTATTTAAAAAAAAAGTAAATAATCTTTGGAAATAATGAATGTCTTAAGTTAAATAATGAATAATCTGGTATATCTGGGGTTGGCAGTAATGGTGGTATTCGGATATGAAAAAAATAAAATTTGCATTAAATTTTTATATCTAAAATGGCTAGTTAATTATTGATCCCTACTATACAGGGTGATTCTTTCAAGTGGGTACACTAATTATCTCGAAAAGTATTTACTATTTTCAAAATATTTTTTACATGATTTCAAGTTGTTAAAAAACCAACGTTTTTATTAAAAAATTATATTTTTAAATATTTTTTATCCTTATCATTTTTTAAGTTTTTTACTTTTTTGAATGACAACATAGAGTTTTAATTTCATATTCCAAAGCAGAATATTTTTCTAAGTATTTTGATTCATAAAAATCGAATCTAGGATGAGTAGTTTTTGAATTATAAGTATTTAAAGTTTTGATTGGCAGAGTGGAGTGGTACGGGGTTACCCCGCAAAATGTTTGTCCACTACTCCGCTTGTCTAAACTTTAAATACATATAACTCATAAACTACTCGTCCTAAATTCGATTATTATGAATCAAAATACTTAGAAAAATATTCTGCTTTGGAATATGAAATTAAAACTCTGTTGTCATTCAAAAAAGTAAAAAACTTAAAAAATGATAAGGATAAAAAATATTTTTTAATATAATTTTTTAATAAAAACGTTGGTTTTTTAACAACTTGAAACCATGTAAAAAAATATTTTGAAAAAAGTAAATACTTTTCGAGATAATTAGTGYACCCACTTAAAAGAATCACCCTGTATATCAATATTAATGTAAGCAGTTCAGATTTTACATTAATATATATTAAGATATTGTAAATTTAATCAAAAAGCATTTAATGATAAATTTAAAATATACATCAAATAACAATGGAATAAATTTATTTCAGACCAATAGCATAAAAAAATGAGTCATGGAAAATAGTTAAGGTATTGTATAACTTTGAATTTTAGAAATCTGGATTATTTAGATTTATATTATAAACTGGATAAGCATTTACAAAATCAATAATTTTTTGAAATGTTTCAAAAATGCGKTTAGTAATAAGTATTAATTGTGTATCTAAAAATGTAAATAAATAGAATACAATTTAATACCAACAATTTCTAACACTATCAGTATGTTAACAGTGTATAGCAAAGGTCGGCATTAATTTCTAAAAAAAAAAAAATTCAAGGTTCAGAAAATGTAATATTATATTTCTAAAAGCTAGAAATAAATTAAATGAACCTAATTATTATGTGCTTACACAAATATGAATACCTAATAAAAAAAAATTGTCTCTGCCAAATTTAGCAGTATCTATATGTGGTATAGTATTTTCCYTGCACAGTCACCATATTGCCGACCTCTGGTATACATAACTACTAGATAATAATAGTGCGTAATATGTATTCATGTTTTCTAATTGTTAGTATATTATAATAGACAGTTTATATTCACTTTGGATAAAAATAAATGTCTACTTTTTGCCAGTCTAGTTAAATTGTTTCGAGAATTTTCTTGAGGCCTTGTAGATTTTTCAGGTTTAATATCATTGCCCTAATAAACAAATATTAAGTATGAGAATATTAATAAGTCAAACATTAAAAAAAAAAATAAGTTTAGGCAATGAAACAAATTTAAGTTGTTACCTATTATACAACTTCAGTTATTACAATAATGATTATGTACAGGGCCAGTTGGACAAATTAGGCTCATCAATTGTTTTGTACTTTATCAGTATACTTACAAACTTAATACAATAACACCTTCAACCATATATTGCCTGTGCAATCCCAACACTTAAGGCTCCATTTTTCAAATTTAAACACTTAACACATTCAGTATGATGAGTCAGCAGCCTCATTACTTAAACAGCCCAAAATTGTAGCGGCCCACCTAGTTTTACTCAGTAACTCGCGAGCCAATCTGGCCCTGTTATGTAAAAAATTTAATTAATGTTTTCTAATATCTCAAACATTTGTCCGGTGTTTGAAAGGTTTTTGGTTGGTTTTCTTGAAATTCTTGTCTTTTTCATATTCTTAATATTTTTATTAGCTCACACCAAGATCCTAATATATGTTATAAGCATTTATCTAGAACAAATGTCAATCAAAGTATACATTTTTAATTACTTTTCCTTCAGAAGAATTTAAGATTTTAGCTGATGATAACTCATTTAGGATAGGTGATGGTAGAGATAACAATTCGCGTTTCATTAAATTCTTCTGAAAAAGAAATATTTCAAAATATATTAGTTAATTAGTTCAAATCTAGATATTTAACACATCAAACTTAAAATATAATACTTGAAAAATAAAAAGATTAGATTTTTTCTTTAACATATTGATTATGTAATTATTAAATGGGCAACAAATCAAGCTAATTATTGTTAGTTGATAAAATTAATTATTTTTGAATGATTCCCTACTTTTTTATAACTGTTGTATTGTCGTTCTTTTTTAACTATAACATAATCGTCTGTATCCGATGTATCATCCTAAAACATAAAAATCACGTATAAATCTGAAGCAACAACAAATTATACATAAAATTAGTCTATATACAGGGTGTCCCGTTAGGATTTACCCATTGCGATATCTCCTGAAATAATGGTGATATCAAAATTCTGGTTTTGTAATAACTAATAAGGCTCACAAGGCATAAGAACTACAATTATTTCATATTTTAATGTTTTGGTAAAAAGGTTAAAAAATATACTTTTTTATTTAATTATTTAAAAACAAATTAAAGATAGCAATTTTGTATAGTTTTATTTTTCTAAAAATGTTGACGTTTCAAAATTTTATTTTCATTAATTTTCCGATTTTTAATATTTTTTTTAGTTTCGAGAAAATTGCGAATTATCTAATACCTTAACACGTTGGCTACCAGACTTGATTTTAAAAATATTTTTTTATTTACGATGAGTATCACCCGTGACTYTCAAAAAATATAAGTTTTCTTGGTTATTGAATTCTACATAACTTTAAGAAAACGAAATACCTGAGAGTTACCAGCAACTCACACGATACACACATAATGACGATTTGTGAGTCCCCCGTGACTNTAAGAAAACGAAATACCTGAGAGTTACCAGCAACTCACACGATACACACATAATGACGATTTGTGAGTCCCCCGTGACTCTCATGGTACATAACCAGAGATCGTCAAAATTATRTCTATTGYATCATRGTGTGAGACACCCGTGATACTCATGGTAGCCAACGTGTTAATGTTATCAAACATATTGTGACCCACTGCGCCGCGCACTTTCCGATATGGCCGGCCGAATACTTTCCGTGTTCCTAATAGTTATAAATTACTAAAGGTAATAATTACTATAAAACTAGAAAAAACATTAAAAATCAGGAAATTAATGAAAATAAAATTTTGAAACGTCAGTATTTTCAGAAAAATAAACTACAAAATGGCTATCTTTATTTTTTTTGGAAATAATTAAATAAAAAAATATATTAACTTTTTTACCCAAACATTAAAATACATTTGAAAATGAAATAATTGTAGTTCTTATCCCTGTGAATCTTATTATAAAACCAGAATTTTGATATCTCCATTATTTCGTTAGATATTGCAATGGGTAAATCCTCGCGGGATACCCTGTATAGTTTTTGATTTCTGAACATAGTTCATATGCATTTCAATAACATTAGGTGTTATATTTTAAAAACTATGTTTAAAATAAAAAACTATATAAACGAGAAACCAATTTCATCATTACAATACTAATGGATATTACCTTGCATGAACTTCATAATATTTTAACATAGTTGTAGATTTTGAATTATATATTTGTACACTCCATATAAATATATAATTGTATTATTGTGACTAATATCTATTTGTAAGAACAAATTGTTAATACAAACATTTTAGAATTTAAGTTATTATTATTAAATGAGAAACCGTTTGTATAAAGTTAGTAATAAATGAAGCAATTCACAAATTAAGAGAGGTTCATATTATATTATATTATTAAATCAAATATAATAGATCAGTGTTGGTTAAGATGAAAAAGCAGTATAAAATATTAACAATGATTTAGTATGTTTTGTCACAATTAAACAATAATCAATTATAAAGTTACATCAGTACATAGTATAAAATCATTAAAATAATTAACAATATGTACATTTTGTTTGTCCAAATTAAATCATAAAAAATATTTACTCAGTTAAAACATAAACTACAAAATATTATGATGGTTTTGTGTTATTAATTAAATTCTCAAAGTGCAAAATAAAATTTTAATTATTTATCTTGTAATGTCATACTTTTATCAGTAGTTTTCTCGAAGAAAATATAGACAAACCATTCCTTAGCTTTCCTTTTGAACTAACATTTTTTTCGGATTCCAAAGAATCATCAACTGAAATGTCATTCTAAAAGTAATAAAACAATTCATTAACTCATTTATATACAAAACATAAATTATTCATCATAAGTGATAACAATATAAACATTAAAATATACTAATAAGATAGGTACCTTAATTATACAAGGATTATACCCGTCCTTATTATTATTTTTCTGAGATTTGAATTTTAAAAACAGTTAGAAAAAATTTAACACAAGTGGTTAATATTAACTAATGTAACATCAACATTCAATTTTGATTACTAATAGTTCTTAAATCAAAACTTTTAAATTATTCTTATTGTTTTAGATTTATCTGCATGAATTATATTGCGTTATTTAGTAAAATATTTTTTTCTTAATCAAAACCATATGTATTTAGTTAAAATGAAATGTTGATAAATAAAATCAATAAAAATAAGTACAGAAACAGATTTTTGTAAATCAGCATTAATTATTTTTTGGGGATTACAAGTAAAATTTTAAATTTGAAGGACTATTGTGAAGAATAACATTATATATAATACACATAATGTAATATAAAATTGGAAATAATGAATTAAATAAACAGTTTAAATGGTTTTTCCAACAGTAAAAACATTATATTTAAGTACATATAACACACACTGAAAATACTGTTAAAAGCTGAGATTAATAATAAAAAAAAATAATTAGTTATATTTATTTTAGATCTTATAATAAAAAATCCATTAACATACATGTTGGTTTATCCTTGTGATAATTCATGTGTTATATGTTATGAGATACAACACTTTCACTACCTACTAAACTTTCACTTTAGCACTAGTTATTTTTTTTTACCTAAGAATTTGATAACAACTATAAGCAAAGCATACTGGGTTAAAATATAATTTTGAATATTTATATTTTTTTTTTTATTGATATAAATTGTTCAGTTTATAAATTATTATGTAATAAATTGTATGTAAGAAGATATAGGCATAAGAATTATATTTACATCACCATAATATATTTCATAAATATAATATTCTTTAATTTGATTTATAAATCAGACAGAAAATGTAATTTACACTGCCAACATAAAACTCTTGAATCAAAAATAATAGAACTACAATAGCAAAATTTAGAAACAACAATAATTTCCAATAAATATTCCAATAAACACTAATAGTTGATTTAAAAATAGCGTTAAACAAAAATATAATACGAATTGATCTTAAAACCCTGACCATTTACATCAAAAATATTAATTAACTGACTATAAAAATAATTCATAGTAATTGATGTTATTATTTTGTTTTAATAATGGTATCAATATTGTTAGAGAAACAAACTTTAGGTACAACAAGCACATTATTTATTTATTAATATCTAATTAAAACAACACTTAAATAGAAAACAATTTCTCATACATTTTTAACTTTAAGTAATTATAAGTTACCACTATTATTATCGGTATATCAAAATAAAATTCAAAAATTAGTGAAATAGATAAAAATATTAAACAGTGAAGAAAAAAAGAATTAAAAATTAAAGAAATCATACAGTGGTTCATTTACTAAACCCTAAACTAATGCAATAAAAACTTTTTAAAGATTGTTCAAAACGCATATTTGCTGTGAATTTTTAATTTACATAGCAGATTAAATTTTAAGTAACTATATAAATAGATGAATGAATAAGTAGCAATTTTAATTAAAAATTAATTAATATTTTGGGTAGGTTAGGTAAATTACTGATATATTTTTCTATACTCACAAATGTACCGTTAATTTATATGTTGAATTCAGAGGCATACAAATAATACTAGGGAGGGCAAAGGTGGTAAAAATGTATAAAAATGAATATAATTTACTTTATAATACCTATATATATATATGGATTTTTAAAAATTAAAGAATTTTGTTATTGTCATCACTTAAATTTTTATTAGACATCTGCTATTCAAAGTTATAGTTTATAATATAAACAACACTTTAGACTGTAGAGATTACTAATTTATGATTAGGTTTCAGGTACAAATGAGCCGAAAAAAATTAACAAATCAAAATTATTTATACATGTAATAATTCTTTTAGTATACACTCTCCCTTTTTTATAATTAGTTATAAAAACTATTGAAATTTTTAAATACACTTGAAGACTATTTTTGTTGAATATTTGAGAATTTCTTGAACCAATTAAGGATGATTATATGTGACAAAATAAACTTCTGTTTTTCAAATATGAACCCCTAATTTTTCACTTTTAATTTTTAAACAGATTTTGTTCTTAATTTTGATATAATAAAATTAATATATGAGGAGGAAGTAGTTTTTGAGTTATATAACACTGTGTACTTAGAGCATGTCTAAACATTTGAAAATGAAAATAACGATAAGCTTATCAAAATAAATAATTTGTAAAAATTATTGAAGTACAACAAATACTAATTCTAATATAAATATATATATATATATTTTTTACAACTTAAGTTCTTGTAGAACAATTTCTAAGGATTATGATTTTTGGTATAAACCTTTTAATAACACAAAAATACATTAGAATTTAAACCTAATTTAACTTATATTTCAAGTAAATTATCTGCTAATTAATTTGTCGTAAAAAATGGGGTTTTTTTTGATAAATACAATTTTGTAACGCCACAAAATATATTCCCTAAGAATTAAAAAAATATMAAAAATTTAAAAATATGATCTTTAGATATAATCAACTCTCACAATTATTATCAAAGGAAAAAACAGTGGTGAGCATGCTTAAATAATCACCATTTAAATTTGATTTATGAATGTAACCTCTCTCCCATTTAAAATATCTGTAAAAGTCACTGATAGTATTAGGACTAAGATTCAATTTACTTGTATTTATGTATTAGAAAAAAACAGATGAAAAATAATTGTTATGAAATCATAAATTGGAATACTACGAAAAATGATTTGAGATACTGTCTGTTATCTTATTAATGACCTGTGTATATTAAAAAAAAATTTTTTGAGATCATTATAATCAAACGTTTAACAAAGATGTAATTATTAGATGCCTATAGTCACTAGTAAATATCATTAATTTAATATAAATGTAGAATAGTTGATGAAATATTAACAAATATAAAAACATACAACTAAGTATACTCTTCACAATTAATTCAAATCGAGAAACATACTCGGCAATTAATTTGTGTGCAGAGGGTATGGTTTTGCTAAATAGCTGATGTATGATGATGGTTAACTCATTAGGGAATACAGATGGATGTTCTTTTACAATTGCCTAAAGAAAAACTAGTAGTTACCAAATAACTTGCTTAAATTGAATAGAGTATTTAAAATTAAAGAATATTCATTATAAATAAACATATCTTATTATATTTAATCTCATACATATCCACATATCAATACACTCCTACATTTGTCTAAACTTAAGTTAGACAAAATTATTCCCATGAAAAACCATGTGTACATAATAATCTTACATAAAAAACTTTATAGCTGTAAATAAAGATTGTTTAGGATTAAAAATCTGATTTTCTAACACCATGGTTAGAAAAATATGAAATTAATATTTAAAAATAAAAACATAACAAAACATACTAACTATAAGTATTTCTTTGAATATGTATATCTAGGATATCTAATTTTTCGATATTTGTAATTAAAATAAAAAAATTGTTCTAATTGAAAAAGATTATTAACTAAAATAGTGATATAATACAAAGTTCAGTTAAGGTAATTTAAATAAAAAACATTTTTTTATTCAAAATATGTTTGAAAATTAATGATACGTTTAACAAACATATATTTTCATTTTGACAATAAAACTAAAATACATTAGCGGTCAATATTGTGTCCTATTTAAAAGTCTATGCTGTATTATGTTTCTTACACAATAAAATTATATATCTGGGCTTTGTATGAGCAGTTTCATCAATTACATTTTGTGAATAACAATTTTTATTAAAGCATTCATAAAATGTAACTTATAAAATTAAACGGTTTAAAAATTAATTAAAAATATATACATTTTTTTTATTATAAAAGTTCCAACATACTTAATTATTGTACATGTCAATGATTTTATATAATATTATAATACAGGATAATAATAATAAATTAATAACATACAAATTGATTTTAGAATCAAGTGCCTAAATTATTCCGATAATTTTCAAAATTATATTTTTAGTTTTCTAAATAAAATGAGAACAAAAAGTGGTAGATATTACAGAATTACTAAAACCAMTATATAAAAATATGTATAAAAAATGTACTTGTCAAAATAAATATAAATCAATATATTTTATGTATAATATAATAATATTCAAAAGGTAATTTAAATTTAAATTGATTCGTCAGTTATTAAAATCAGAAATCAAATGTTAATAAGTTAAAACAGACTATGAAAATTTGACATAGATTTAAAATTACAATGAAGATCTCTTAATTGTTTTTTTTGTTACATACTTTGGTCATATTGGTGACGTTCTTAGCCGAATTTTTCCATTTCCTTTTTACAACAGCAGGTGTTTCTGAAGATTCTGAATTTCCATTCTAACATCAAAATCAAATAGAAAAAAAACCGATTTAATAATAATGCATTAATCATTTATTAAGTCATTGAAATATACTTTTAAGGCAGTAGATGATTTTCCAATAGATGTTTTTGATCTTGATTTTTTGGAAAGAACAATTTTCTCAGCATTAGATGCTTTTACCTATGCACATTTATTTGACGTTAATTATATAAATATCACTAGAAATAATAATAGTAAATTATTGATTACCTTAACTTCAATCGTAGAGATGTTTTGATCATTGCTAGTTACTTTAGATGATTTTGACTTGTCTGAGTCAGAAACATTATCCTATGGAATAAAATAAATAATAAAATAAATGCAACATCAAAATATTTTAAGTAAAATATAAATAACAAGTAAGAATAGGCCACTATGTTTTCGTAGTTATAACATAAAACTAACACAGCTCAATTGGAAATCAAAGTTACGCACATATTATTATGACTAAATAAATAAATACATTTTTATTGGTTCAAGAATTGAGCTATTACCTTCAGTTTTAATGGTTTTCGTTTATATTTTGAAGAACCCTTGCACTTATCAACATCGTTAGACGAAATTACTTTCTTTTTCTCTTCTTCCTATGAAATTAAATATTTAAATTAATTTTAAAACAATAATTTTTGTATTAATTTTATCATTATATGTTTAAGTTTTAAACCTGCATAATAACTTTAATTTGAGTCAGAAAAAAAGAAGAGACTCTATACATTGCTAGAACATCTGAATCATTCACCTGAATACTAAAAATGTTTTTCAGTTGTATTTGCAAATGTCTAACAAATCTTTTTAATGATCCAACGTACATCATAGAAACTTAAAACAATAACATTATAAAACAATAATTACCACTTTGACTCCAATAAATTTAGAACATCTTGCAGCTCCACATTGACAAGGTTTTTTTTCTACGCCAGAGCAACTTTGTAAACGGTAATCAAAAACCAGTTCTGTACCAGTTGGAATGTCATGTAAAGCAAAAAGTCCAATTCTAGTATCTCCATTCACTGTCCATTTTTGTGTTACACAATTTGGTTCACACGAATGGTTCATAAATCTATTGATGATAAAAAAATATATTAAATMCAAGTAAATATAACTATAAATATGCTCGTGAAATACTTAACAATCAATCATATATCATAAATAACACAAATTTAAAATTTTTTTAAACTAAGTTATACAACTTAAAATAAGAAATAAAAAAAACTTCAATATTCAAGAATTATAAAGAAGTTATAGTTAGGACAACATACTTAATTTGCCTATAAAATTTGTATTAAATATGATCACAAAATCAATTAAAAGTATATCTATAACATTTGAAAAATTTAACAATGGTTAAGCGTATGTAAGGTAGACATGTAGAGAAATCATAAAAAATAAAAAAATAGTAATTAGGTACTGATTATAAACATTAAACAGAATTATAAGATAATTTGTGATGAACAAGTTGAGACAACACAGATGCACAGAGGTAATCAAGAGACGTGGGTAAGATAAATTTGACAACAATAATTGAGAGTTGAGTCATCAAATATTTAATATTAATCACTAAACTCTCTAATATCCATAAGCCAAAAGCTTGATGGCACTCTCAACCTCAGAACGAGTCCAATTGGCTGGTGTCTCTGACATCTATTTCAATATGATAATATAATGATTGGAAACAAATTACACAGCAGATAAACAATGATACATAAAAATAAATAAACTTAAGATGAATTTAGGATTATTCATTTACCAAAATGTATAATTTTAAAGTTTAATTGACTAATTTATTATTAATATTTTTTAAATTTAATAAAAAGTGAGATTAGATACTGTTCTCATCGTATTTTACGACTCTTAGTTAGGGTAAGTTGTAATTTAGAAATAGTTATTTTATAATTTATAAGAATTAGTTTATACCTGGATAAATTTCCTTTTGGACCAGCATCAATTGTTCTAGAATTATCTATAGTCAAAAAATAATAATTTTGTTCATTTCTTTGATGCATTTCCAGACATCTCCTTTGAAATTCTTCTTCGTCAATTACATCACCAACATACTCAATCACAAATGAACCTTAATTTTAAGTTATTGTTTTACATTATTTTATAATTAAAATAAAATGTATCATATTATCATACCTTCTTTTATATCTTCTAATGTCTTAAGACCCCAACCTCTACCTTTTGTCAAAAATGGGACCATAGCCGGGTACAACGTTTTTTCAAATCTTTGGTTATTACATTTATCTCCAGCAGGACATACTTTTGGTTCACATTCAAACATAAGCATTCTATAAGTTAATTCAAAATTAAGAAAAAAAAATTTAAGTGAAAATTTCAAAAATAATCTGGAAATGTTATATTTAAGATACCTATTTATACAATCGGAACCTGGACCACACGGGTTTGGCTTTGTTGGATCACATTCACAGGGAGTCATTGCAGTAATATCAAATTCCATATTTTTGACGTTGCCAATGGGTTTGTTGAATTTTATTCGCGTAAATTTTGGAGGCTTCTATAATAACAATAATATAATAAGTGCATTATAAATTATTAATCAAAAATCATATAWAGTTGTATATAGTACATACAGTAAATGATTTAGCTACAATAGCATCATTTTTTTCTTTTTCTAAAATATAAGCACTATGTGCTTGAGCTGCTTCAAAAATAGAATCTTGAAATACTTTATCTATAACCTTCATATTATTTTTTCTTAAAACATTCTCATCATCCTAAAATAAATGAACAACTTTAGAGGAAATAGCTCAGAGATTTATTAAAAAATAGAGCTAAATTTTGTTTGATACAATTTTGTATTGCTAGTATTAGATTTAACTTAGCTAATTCACATATATCTTTTATTCTAGATTCATAGACAAATATTAATTACCCCTTCATGAAAGTTAAATACTCGTCCTCGGTTCACCCAATAATAATCATATGTTCCAAAAAATCGGACCGCAAATTGTCCAACTGTATGTGGTATTGCATTTACAGAATCAGGAACTTCATTTGGAAAAATAATTTGAGCTGGCCACCACCTAATAGAAAAATACAATTTGCAACATTAATTAAAATTATTAGATATTTTATTACCAAATAAAATCAACATTAAATTTAACTTTTTAACTTAAAATATAAAATTTTACCTACACAAAAATTTGGGAAAAACAATATTTAATAAAATTATAAAATCGTATTTAATAAATTTTAAATTTATCAGTTATATTGTCTTTATTTACCAAAAGAATATAAATGTTTGGTGCATAGTTTCCCACAAATGAGTTAACCTGATCCTGCAGTGGTAGGTGCTGTTTTGATGGGGATTGACAAGTTTGGCTATACTCCTGCCACTAGCTGGTAACAGAATTTATATAAATTATATAGCTAGATAACACCATCATATTTTTCATACGGATAAACTACAGATCTATTATAATATATTGATATAATAAAAAACCTTTTGTTTATGTCATATTATTATTATTCATCACAAATGTCTTAACATGTGTTTTGTATAAATCGAGAAAATGTATAGATATAAATTTATAGGTATTATCCATATGAATTTGGGAACCAGCAAGTAACAGGAGGATACCAAATCCATTAAGTTGGATTCCAAAATGATTTTAATAATGTAATTATAGATAAATTTAAGAAAGTCTGAAATCATAATTTCTATAAAAAAATATGAAGATCTGTGGTCAAAAATTTATTAGGAATATTAAAGATATCACTTAACATGGAAGAAATTCTAGATTAGATGTTAATTCAAGATGTGTACACTCAAAAATTAAAAATTAAATATTTTAATAACTTAACACTGTAGATTAAAAATAAAACTTAAGAACCATACCTAAAGTTTCCAATCTTAACCCATACAATTTCACCATATAGAGGATATCGACCAGTTTGACATTCTTCACAAGTAAAACCTCCTTCAAAAGCTGATGGGTCCTGATTTAAACAATTAATGTGAAATGAAGATGGACACAAATCACAGAAAACTAACGAACCACCACCTTAAAACAATAAATTATATTTGATTAATACTAAACAGACTTAAATATTAGATATAATAGTTAGTAATCACTTAATGCACAAATAAAACACCAGGTAGCATTATAATGATAAATTTGCACTTTAATAGGTTCAAAATGTCGACTGCAAATAATATCATTGTATGTTAAGACTTGACAACCAGCTGGTAAACAGTATTCACCTATAATTACACATAAAATATAAACGTAAGAAATTAAAAATGATTTTAAAATACTATTACTTCTATGATAGGCTGTTGGACATTTAATACACCGGGTTATTTTTTCAGCAGGAAAATGAGTTTTGCATGAACTTTTAGGGTCATCCGAAATGCATAAATGGCAAACATGATGTGGACATATAACACATCTAACATTGTTCCGTGATCCTTGAATCCACTGACATTGAGGCCAATCTTTTAAACAATTTTCATGGAAATATTTTCCACAGCTGGCTAAAAATTATTTATTTAATTTTATCAGTAATTGCATTGAACATTGTACATTTTAAGTTGATTCATATATCTAGCATATACTTGACATCCTAAATGTAATACTAGATAATTTTAAATTTTAAATATAAGTAATTAATAATTAGTTTAGTTTTATAATGTTCAACATTTGATTTAATTACTAATTGAMTGTAATGAATCCATACACATTTTAATTGCTATCAAATTGTAAAACAACTTATCAATTATTATCAATTTCTGCAAGCATGGTATAAAAAATATTAAATTACAAAACTAAAATTGATTCAATTATTTATACATAATAATACCCATCACTATGTCCATATACAGTATGCAGTATGATATATTTGAACCAAACGAATAATAATAATAATAATAATTTTTGATATTTTAACTTACATATTTTACAAACTATCTTTTGTCCAGAATCGTCAATAACCAAACCACAAACAAAACAGTTGGTTTTATTAGCTTTGCATAGACTACACATATATTTTAAATTGTCTAATGGTAATTTTTCATCTATTTTTATTGGTACAATTGGAGTAACATTTTTTTCTTCTGATATTTCCCGAATAGAATCTTCGTTTATACTTTCTAATTCACTTTGAGTATTCTCATTCGCAGTAAGAAGACAAGTTTCATTTTTAAATAGTTTATCTGATTCAAATTGATTAAGTGATTTAGTTTCTTCATTAGTATAACTAGAACATTGAGTTGGAGATAAAGACCTTAAGCCATTAGATTTGATCTCATCGTCTTTTACAAAAAAATTATCAGTGTCGTCTTCTTCTTTAATATTATTTATAAGCTGAGGATTATCAGCTGCAGAATCTTCATTTTTTTGTGTGATTTTTGAGTATTGTCTTTTACGGCGACCAGTTTTTTTAACTTTAGTCTGATTATATCTTTCTTCACTCTTATTTAAACATTCTCTATGAAAATAACTTTGACATGGGCCCAAGCACTTGACTGTGTCCTTGATGTTTTTACAAACTACACATGCTCTTTTCCAGGTTTTAGTAAAAAGCTGTTTATTTTTTGAACTAGTTAAGAAAACTGAACTGTATGTTTCATTTTTAGAAGAAGCTTCACTTTCCGTTGTATCCGGTTCTGGGCTACTTTCGTATTTAACTGTGTTTGATTTTCTGAACACCACAGAAAATAAAAATTAATACAGTATGAATAATTTTGTAAATGAAAAATCATACAAATTAATATTATTTTATTTTTATCAATTGATAATTTTTACCTTCTAGAAGAGTTTTCTTTTTCAGTAACTTTCTTTTTAGTAACTGTTTTCTTAGAACTGGATGAACTAGAATACATAAAATATTTAATCTTATTAGCTTAACTATGGAAAACTTTTCTAGTTGAGAACATGAACTTAGCTTATTCAACATGAGTACTATTTTTTTTTCACAAAAAACAAAATAAAAAACAATAAATAGCACACTAAAATTTTTTTAATAATATGATACTTAACTATTTCAAGCACTTAACTTTAGAACAAGACTAAAAAAATTGATTCTCAACTTAACTTGTTTTCAAAAAATAATACTCAAAAAACTTTACATTAAATCACTTTAATAATACCTTTGTAAATGTATAGAATGACCACCATTATTTAAATTGATTTCTGTATTAGAGCGAGTACTGCAATTATAAACACAAATTAATGTTTTAAATATATACCTTTATAATAAACAAATTAACAGATAATTAAATATATTTAAATTTACTTTATATGAATCATACTTTTTTTTTTTTGAACGCCGAGTATTTGGAAAAATAATATTATCTTGATCATATTCTCCTTCTAATATGCTAAAATACATAAAATAAAAAAAAGATTAATTTATGTTTTATTTTGATTATAAAAAAATGTATTAATTAAACATTCTAATTAATAAAGAGAAAGGGGGCCAGGGTGGCAAATGGTTGGTCAGACACTAAYTTGCACTGTAGTCAAGCATTAATTAGTGTCGCTATACTTTAGATAGGTGACTACCATGGATTATAGTGACAAATTAGCATTTTCTTTATATAGACCAGTGACGGCTCGAACTTTTTTCACTCGAATCACGTTTAATAATTTTACACCACCCACCCTAAAATATAGTTATTAGTTATTACTTATTACTGTACATTATCTGCTGAGTACACATTACGGCTATATATTATATTTATTATTTATTATTTAATATTTAAATTACCAACCTGCAAAAATGGTCCAGTCTACCTTTTCCAACCATAAGACTTACCCACCCACACATTAATATTTTTGTGAATCACATGATTCAATTTAAAAGGCTGGTAAAGAATTTTTTTTGTAATTTTTAATTCCTATATTTAGTACATAGGCTATCACAAAAAAACACTAATGCAATAACTTTTATAACAATCAATGTTTGAATTTTTTTCCAGATTCTTGTTACACCTTGATCATCATAGGGTGGAACACAAAGAGCCGACAAAAAACAAAAAAAAAATGCTAATTAAATGTTAGAAAAAATTTGTTATAATTATATGATAAGTAAATAATTTATAAAATATACTCATATCAGAAACTTCTCAAAAACCATATTAAAAAAAAAAAAGTTATTATGTTCTAAATTAATTTTTTTTATTATTATTGAAGTGATCTACAATCTATACGTTGTTTGTAAAATGAGTAGGTTTGATAATAAATTGACAAATACAATTAACATGAATAATTACAATAGGGAGGAAACCCAGTGGTAACGCTCTATGAATAGACAGTAGCAGTGGAAACATTTTTTTTTTTTAAGTTGTAAATTTAGAGGTGTTGCCTGATAGTAACATCCAGCACTTATTTGGATTGCTCACTATTAAATAAGGTCTCTACACCATTGCCTTTTAAGTGAATTAATTAAATAAAAAATATTGAATTTTAAAAATTTCTAAAAAATAAGCTACTTGACTTAGATAAATATTTTCACCATCAAAATTATTCTTATAATCAGATTCACAAATAGGCTATTTTGAATTTATCCAATTTTATTAAATTCAATTTCTATTTTTTATTTTCAGTACTAAAAAATAAACATGAAAAAAGCGGTTAGGTGGGTATCGCTCTGCTGTACATTAGGGGGTGGGGTGGACCTCTKACTAGGGTTAGATTTGAATGCAATGATAGGTATCATTGTAAACGAAAAACGATTCTGAACAGAGATGATTTGTCAGTCTAGGATATATTATATTTTAATATTGTCATCATATATTCTGTTTTGAAATAAATATATTATTTTTCAATTAGGACACATTTTGAATAAGGCATGGTTAATCAATTTTTCCAAAAACATTGCAAGTAGTTATCATAATTCATAATACCTTATATTATCATAGATATACATATAACTGGTTTGAGGATAAATATAAAATTTAAAACTCAAACGCTCAAAACATTTTTCCTATAATGATGCTTCAATTTTCTCTATAGTTATTTGAAGCAAAACTTATGGAAAACTTAGTGTTGAATTTTTTAACCTTAGATATAAATACAAACAGTTTTATGAATTTTGAACTACAAAATAATTTGCAAATATTCATGGTTTTGACAAATTTTTGTCAATATTTGAACTTAAAATTCAAATAAAAAAAAAATTGTGCCTATGTATTCTTATAACTTTTTAATTACTATAAGAATAACTTATGAGGAACTTTGAATTAAATTTTCAAGTATATTGATAAGGCAAAAACAATTTTATGAACACTTCAAAAAAAAATTTTCAGAAAAACTAAAATTTTCAGTTGTATATAAATATCTCAAAAAGTCAAAATATTTTTAAAATTAAATCATGTAAAGAAAATGCCAATTTAAATAACTGGTAAAATTTTCAAGTATCTACGACTTATACTTTTTGAATAATAATAAATGTTTAAAATCGTTATTGTTACGCTATTTCGTAAAAATTTAAAATTCAAACGCATTTAAAATTTTTCCTTTAATGATGCTTCGAGTTTTCTCTATAGCTACTTGAAGGAAAACTTAGTATTGTATTTTTAATCCTTAGTTATAAACACAAAATATTTTATGATTTATTAACTTCAAAATTATTAGCAAATTTTCGACAGATTTTGTAAAAATTTGAAGTATAAACACTTATAAAAAAAAATTGTGACTAACGATTTTTAGTTACAATAATAACACTCATAAGGAACCTTGTATTACATTTTCAAGTTGTTTTGGTCATCCAAAATTTTTTTACGGACACTTCAAAAAAAAAAATTCTCATAAAAATTGAAAATGTCAGTGGTCTATAAATAACTCAAAAAAAGTCAAAAAAAATTTGAAAATTAAACTGTATATAGATAACATTTACATAAACATTTAGTGAAAATTTCAAGTATTTACAATGTTTAGTTTTTGAATTACAACCATATAAAAAAATCGATTTCGTTGAAAACTGGTTTTGCGTAAAAATTCCTGTTYTTCTGTCATTTTTTTTTTTGTTTTCTCGATTTTTTTGAAAACTGTTGGAAAATGTTTACTTTTGACCTTTAATATGCATCAAGGATATTCACTTTTCCATCGGAAATCACCCCTAAATTGAAGTATTATTTCGACTAGTTATGCTGTACACAGACACACAAAAAAAAAACACATCATTGTAAAATCAATACATTCATCACTCCGTTCAGAATTTAAAAAAAATGTATCATACATTTAGTGCTAGGGCCATTAATGAAAAAAAAAAAAAAAAATTAATATAAAAAATTAATTTGAGCAAAGGTTATTCCAAAAGTTGTTCTATCTGTTACATCTTGTATATTAGTCAGTTCACATGAGTATAATATATTTTTTTTTACCTTATTTCAAGTTTCCTATGATCAGGTACCGAACGAGTAGAAGATTTTGTAGTTGTAACTGGGCACTTATCTTGAGTATCAGATACACTATTACTATCATTATTTTCTGGAGAATTCACCATTGAATAACATAAATCATATTTATTGGCAACAGAACTTTTTGGTGGATACGTTTTTGTTGATCTTCTTTTTTTTACAGTTTCCTGTTTTGCTTTTAAACCTATATCTTCCATAAAAGCATAGCTCATAGAGAAATCAGAAACAGTACTATCTGCATCATCTGATCTGGACTGTAAAGGAATGTCTATTAATCTAGACGATGAAAAATGTACAGCCATGTTTTCAGTCTTCATAATTTTAGAATCACGATCTTGTTCAGGAACTGTTAGAGATCTTTTTCTTGAGTAAGTTCGTACTTTTAAAGTCTAAAAATAATATATCATTCAATCAATTAACAGCTCGATGTTCGATTAATAACAAATAACATTTTAACTTACACTAACAGTGCCTTCAGATGATTTATTTAGAATGGATGGAGTTACAGAATCTGGATTACAAAATGATTTGAAAAATTCAACCATTCTTAACTCTCTGAAATTTATAATATACTTAGTATAATTAATAAATACTTTCGGAATTTAACAATTTTATATACCTGTCTAGTTTCATCAAATTATCAGCTTCTTGAACTGCCAATTCCCACGTTTCCAAAAGCTTTTTACTATTTTTAAAGTAGGACTGTAAATATAAATAGTTATAAAATACAAGAATTAAAATATAAATCTTCAACTACTTAATACAATATAATATATACACAAACTAAAAAAGTGTAATAAGATTTATTGACTTGTGCGTTACACATTAATTTAAATTTTATTTTTTAATACTGAAAGTAAAAAATTAAAACCCAATCTATTTTTTTTTTTTGAACATTTTATAATAGCAATGTAAATTTGGTTGTTAGAAAATTGTTAATTCTAAAAACATTTATTTAAGTCAAGTTGTATATTTTTATGTGTTTTTTTTTTTTTAATATCTAATTTTTGTTAGTAAGATTCATTTATATATGCATTTATATGAATTGCAACTTTGAAAAATATTTTTAAATTTTAACAAAACTTATTTAAAATTTCTGTAATTATATATACAAAAAATGATGTAAAACTATARATTACATCAATAGTCATTTAATTTGACAGGTCTTACTGTTACACTCTGACGACATGTACATATTTAATTTATACTTACTAAACAACCGGGATACTTAGAGAGTAACTCATGTTTTCCATAATAATTTTCAGTAGTTGTGGCCCAACTTCTTCTACCTTTATCATTACAAAAGCGGACATGTAACAAGAATCTCTTTTTTTCTTCTAAAAAATATAATACATTATAAAAACTTAGATATACTATAGACAAAGTAAGTTAGATAACGAAATTTAACTAATAAAGGTAAGAAAAATAATAAAATATTTAGTCACAAAAATATCACTTAATTTATAAATGGCTAGAAAATTTTGAATTTTATTTATTAAAAAAATTATAATATGTGTAATCATGTTAGTTATTCTAATATTATGAAATATTTTTTACAACTTAAAAATATACCTTTGTCATATTCTGTTGAAAATAATTTAATTAAAAATTATATTAATTATCTAGTCACAAAATTTCAATAAGTTTATTAATATAAATAGCTTACTATAGTGAATATTCAATGTTGGGTCAACACAAACAATGCTTGGCCAATACGGATATTTCCCAATTTTAGCCCAAACAATATCACCGATCTTATAATCTTCAAATTGCTTAGTACTAGAATTGGCAGGTTTGTCTAATAATGGATCAAAAACATCCACACTCATATCACTTACTGAATCTTGAAGGGAAGGAGTATTTACAGTATTCACGACATCTTCGCTGTTTAAATGATATGTCTCGGATGACAAGGATGTATTCACAGTTTCATCGCTATTTAAATGAGATATTTCAGACGGCACTGGTGTATTCACAGCTTCGTCACTATTTAAATGAGTTGTATCAGACAGCAATGACGTATTCACAGCTTTGTTATTAATTAAATGACATAAATCAGATGGCAGAGGTGTATAGATAGCCTCATCACCATTAAAATGAAATGTTTCAGAGGACACTGATGTATTCACAGCTTCGTCACTATTTAAATGACATGAATCAGATGGCAAAGGTGTATTGATAGCCTCATCACTATTTAAATGAGATGTTTCAGAGGACAGTGGTGTTTTCACAGCTTCATCGCTATTTAAATGTGATGTTTCAGAAGACAGTGGTGTATTAACAGGTTTGTTACTATTTAAATGAGATGTTTCAGAGGACACTGGTGTATTCACAGCTTCATCACTATTTAAATGAAATGTTTCAGAGGACACTGGTGTATTCACAGCTTCATCACTATTTNTTTAAATGAAATGTTTCAGAGGACACTGGTGTATTCACAGCTTCATCACTATTTAAATGAAATGTTTCAGAGGACACTGGTGTATTCACAGCTTCGTCACTATTTAAATGAGATGTATCAGACAATAGTGGTGTATTCACGGCTTCATCACTATTTAAATGAGATGTTTCAGAGGACACTGGTGTAATCACAGCTTCGTCGCTATTTAAATGATTTGTATCAGACAGCAGTGGTATATTCACAGTCTGATTGCTACATAACAAATCGCTATTTAAATGAGATATATCGGTCAGTGGTAGTATATTCACAGCTTTGTCGGTACTCAAAGAGTTTCTATTTAAATGAGATATAGTATTCGGTAGCACAGGATTGTCGTCAAAAAATAGGACGTCGATCGCAGTTGGTTGACCATCATCATTAGCAAAGTTTTGACTAGTTTCTAAAAAAACTTTAACGGGTTCTGTAATGTCAGCCATCGTATTTATAAAGTCAAACCTGTAACAACAAATTCATATTATAGCACACAGTTCAATAGTTGTAGTTGATTATGTTGTTACGGCAATCAACCTTTAGTAAAACGCATAATATCCATCGAAAGGAGTTTAGTAAACGTCATTAATAGGAGCGCTCCGCCGCACAGCGCTTTAGTATCGAATTGTACAATGATCGCACTGTAAAAATATCTTACCGAGGCGCGTACGCAGAACACCAACCCAGGTCATTAATTGTCTTAAACAGTGAACGTTGGGTAAAACAACGGTAAACAGCTACCGATGGTACGGTTACACGGCGACATTAAAACGAGCTTGATTTCACGGTTTTGCTCACTTTCTTACACAGTTATCCGTGGATTTAATACCGTTTTAACGTCGCCTTGAAAACGTATTTACTAACGAACGATTGATTTCTAACCGTTCAATAATATTTGCTGTATAATGATTATTTAGTACCTCTGAGACACGGCGATGACAATTCTGTCAAGACATGGCGGGCAATCTCTTAGAGACTTTGGTGCGTAGGTAATAAACCGAAATTTAGTTTATTCATTAAACTAGCTCGGTCCTTAAGCTTCTAGTCCTTTTCCTTCAGCATCAACAGTTGAAGAATAAAGTAGCGAGATTTTTTTACAGTCTAAAGAGGCAATCGTCGACAGACATTTGTTTAGACAGTCGTTCCGCGTCGGATCGCGTTAGAGTTAAGATAAATTTATGAATGCATTTTTGCACTACCTAGGTTGATATATCACTATATCGCATAGCCGTACTATACTACTATAGTACATTAAAAGATCATTAATAATTATTAATTATTAATTATTAATTAATAATTACAATATTATGTATATATGCGTGAGTGATAAAATAGGAGTTGTAGCGAGCGGTAACTGAAGTGGTTACCAGTTAACGCGGGCCAGTACGCCACCCCAACGATACTGCCGTCGAAGATTGACATCGACATGCAGCCGAAACGAATTCACACAATCTTAAACTATTATTTTCTACCAAAATGAAACCGATAACCTACGGCAGAATATCAGACCGACCGTTACGCCAGACTGAGTGAGTTCGCGTCGCACTAATGCCAACCGTCCCGTGCCTGAGCTCCACTCAMGCCGTTTCAAATGTAGATGGCGCACGCATATTGAAGGCAATAATAAATCGATGTCACTAAGTCACTTAGATATCTTAGTCCGTGGTCACAAAACCTCACAACTCACAATATGGCATTATTTTATATCAATTTTTTAACTGTGTCTGTGCCCTTTGGGGTGTATCGCGTATGGCATGTATCAATTATTATACACCACTAACATTTTCATGTTTTGTATTTGGTGTCGTATATATTTTATTAATTTATTGATAATCATAAGTAAATTGCATTATGGAAAATCATTCATTTTAAAATACCCGAGAATTCTGAATGAGTTGAATATTTTTAGAACACTATATTGTTCGTTTGTTCCCTTGTGTATCAAAATACATACACGCAATAAAATGCACTTGGAAATTTAAAATGTTTTCTTTAAACGTGTAAAACACGAATTTACGAAGCCTATATTTAGCTATTTATGTTACCTGTGCAAGCCCGGATAAAAGTGTATTGGGTGGGGGATTAGTAACACGGTTCCGAGGCCTAAACCAGTATTGTTTCTACAATATAATTTATAGTTTTATTGTTTATTCAAAAAAATTTACAAAAAAATTAAATAAAAAAAGTTTTAGTTTAAATAACCAATAGAAGTATACACTATATCGCAATGATTAAATTATAATGAAAAATAGCTAAATAAAGTTTGTAAATTTAAAATTTTCGAAACAGAATTTATTATGAACAATGTACTTAATGTAGGTAATACATATAGTACGAGTAATAATGTTCATACGATAGAACTAGTATGTATTACGAGGTATTAATAAATTGTCAATTTCAATTTTATAAACAATGAGATATTTCAGGTATTTGAATTAATGTATTTAATTATTACTTAGGTGATTAATAATATTAAGTGCACCCAATATTATATTTCCAAATAAATATATAAATATACATCATTTTATTATGTTAATATGTTATCAATTTATTCATATGAGGTAACAATTTTTAAAACTCATAACTGTGTGTTAATTATTAAATAGTGCAACTAATAGAGAGGGCTGTTGCACAAGATGATGAAATATTTTGTTTCAATGAATTCAAAAAATAGATATTATTTCAAATAATAAAAATTCGTACTTTCAGAGTATTTCCCTGAAATAATAAAAAATAAATTTCAAAAATTGAATTTTACAATAATAATGAGTGAAATTAGATAGTTTTATAAAATATCGTCTAAAGCGAAACAAACAATCTTTTAAACTAAAAACATAATTTAAAAAAAAATGCAAATTGATATTTTCTACACAATCATACATGCACTTAATGAGTTTTCAATGTTTTCATAAATCTTTAGGTACTTCATCGATCCAGTATTGGAGTGGTCTAAGGGAAGATCTTGGTGGGCGCCTAGGGCACCCCCAGCCGTGGAGGACATGCCAGCCATTCTTTGCGGCCCTTTCTTTGAGGATTTACCATTGGATCACTCAGTAAGGTACGAGGWGCTCTATAACGCGGAGGAGTTCTGCAGAATCTTTTACAAGATGATGGAGGAGATACTGACTGATGGAAAAGAGGACCAGGAAAGCAAAGAAAGCATAAAGGCCGAGCCATGAAAGTGACGAACAAAGAACCTAATCTAACTTAACCTATTTAGGCATCACTCTCGACCCCAAATTGCGCTGGATACCAGATATTTCATCACTCACTGCTTTTGCTTCTCGATGGTCCAACTTCCTCCGATCAGTAACTGGTACTTGGTGGGGCTCTCACCCTTCAAGTCTATTATCTATATATTTGTCTATTATACGCTCCAAACTTGATTACGGATGCTTTCTTTTCGGATCGGCTTCCTTTTCTAATTGGAAAAAAATTAATTAACTCCAAACCTCATGCCTTAGACTATTTTAGGTTATGATAGATCTTATTCTTGCCCTGCTATTGAAGTTGAATCTACTTGCCTACCATTTAATATCAGAAGACCGCTTGCAGAGGGGCAATCTGGAAGGCGATGGCAAGGACAGAGGACTCCGGTCGGTCCGCGAAGTTGGCTCATCAAAGAAGGCATGATAGTTTTTAACATAAATGTATTCGGTATTTGTACTGATTTTTATACATAACTTCATTTTTACGTGTAAAATAAACGATGGCGACGCTGTCAACATAATGGGCAAGCAGTTTTGGGTGCGTCGTTGAAAACATCAAGAAAAAATAAAGTACTTCATCGGTAAAATACCAAAATTGCATATTGCATAATATATTTGAATACTTAGAACGTTAGTGAGTAGATTTATTTAATCAAAATACATTTCACAGCGTTTTATATGCATATACAAATAAACATTGTTATTTGATCATTGTCGATAAAGGAAGTTTTATAGCCTTATTCGCTGAAAATCATACGAGTTCAATCAATAGATGATATATAACTTTGTCGATGAGTTTAAATATTGTACTTTAACTTCTTCTACTAGTCTACCACCATATGAATACCCGGTTCTAAGAATTTAATATTAATCCAATACATAAGATCCAATTTTTGTTTATTCCAACTATAGTTGAAAATTTTCAATGTAAGTATACATATTTGCCCATTGCAAATAAGTCGCTTGTTTTTAATGTCTAAGGTGCTTATAAGATGTATATATTATATTATAAGTCTTTAAATTTAATGTCTTAAAAAAACTAAATTAATAAGAACCACACTTTTGTTGTACATTTAGTTTAATACATTAGCATTTGGGTCGCTGTATAGTTTTAAGGGGCAACTGGCAAGCCAACGCTCTAAAGTATAAAGTGTATAATGGCTTCAATGATTTCAACGTTTTCGTGTATAACAGCAGTAGATATACAGTGTGTTCACCGATTTATAKAACACTGAATTTATCGGTCGGATTTGTTTGGAATAAATCGATTTTTTTTTTTATAAACTGGTRGTATATGAATACACATTTTTCGATACATTTCAAAAATTTTTTGAGAATTTGGCCTGCACATGCACAATAAAAACTTTTTTTTAAATAGCAACACATATGCTTAACACCATATTCGGTTAGTGTCCTATCAATTTAAAGTAATTTTCATGTATCAACTATGGCTCTAAGTTCAATATTATTGACTGAATAAGAGCCATGTAAATTTTATTAAATAATAGATTTATAATTAATTCTTATTGGTTACTTTTTGAATATTTGTACGAATTTTTTTTTTAGAAATGTTATAAACAAGACTAACATAATATGGATACAAAATTATTTATTAAAAATCGATTAGGTACAACTGGAACAAGTGAACAATAATTATTTTATAATTACACAATAAATTGTTCAAAGTTTGCTCCTGTCGAAGCATAATTGAAAACGCTGTAGACATCATCCTCTATTGATTGCTGACATTATTTGGTTTTCTGTAAGGTTATTACACGCATCTACGATTTTATTTTTTAAATCTGCTAAATTTACTGGTGGATCTGAGTAGACTATTGTTTTAAAATTAAAAAAAAGTCAAGTGGTGTAATATCTGGAGATCTTGCTGGCCATTCAATGGGGCCATAATGCCAAGCCATTTTCCCTCATATACCCGATTTAAATTATCTCTAATAATATGAGCATTATGAACAGGAGCTCCGTCGTGCTGAAAATAGAGAGCAAACTTTGAACAATTTATTTAATTTATTGTGTAATTATAAAATAACTATTGTTCACTAGTACCAGTTGTACCTAGTCGATTTTTAATAAATAATTTTGTATCCATATTATGTTTATCTTGTTTATAGCATTTCTAAAAAAAAATTCGCACAAATATTCAAAAAGTAGCCAATAAGAATTAATTATAAATGTATAAAAATAATTTAAAAAATGTATTATTTAATAAAATTGACATGGCTCTTATTCAGTCAATATATTGAACGTAGAGCCATAATAGTTGATACATGAAAATTACTTTAAATTGATAGGACGACTCACCGAAAATATGGTGTTAAGAATATGTGTTGGCGTGTTGTTATTAAAAAAAAAAAGTTTTTATTGTGCAAGCGCAGGCCAAATTCTCAAAAAATTTTGAAATATATCGAAAAATGTGTATTCATATACCACCAGTTTGTAAAAAAAAAAATCGTTTTATTCCAAACAAATCCGGCCGAGAAATTCAGTGTTCCCTTAATCGGCGAACACACTGTTTATAAATTGCATATATGATCTTGTTATCAACATGCATTGTTTATAATTAATTATTTGTTATTTAAGATTTAATAATTATTCTTGGAAAAATATTTAATTATGTGGTTTTAAGTTAAGAATGGTATTTTTAAATTTTAAAGAAATAATCATTAACTAAGAATTATATAKTTATAGCCTATTTTACTAGGTACGTAAGGCGTTGCATCAGTTAAAAATGTAACACTTTTATTGATCATCTGTCTACTGTCGTTAGTAGGAAAAACACCAATATAATTTAATTTGACGTAAATCGTATATGAATACAGAAAAATAATTTTGCAGCGAAGCATATTGTGTTAATATACAGTGCCAAGGTGGTCGAATAAAAGCCCAGACGAAATATTTCAAGAGTGATCATAGAAAAACAGCGCCATTAATAGGAATGGCACAATCTATAAAAAAAAAACCACAACAACAAATAAAACACCTTGAATCTTGAAATATAGAAAATATATGTAATTTCTATTAGTCTTGAGCCCTATTAATTATTATACCTAACAACCTAACTATCGATCGACAATCGTCTTCGCACCGATGTATAGTCGTATACCGCGCGTAGTACCTACCTTATTATACGACAAGCTGAGGACTTACAGAGCCGCGGTGCAGTGGAGCGAGATATTTAACAGGGGAAAGTGGAATAACAGT